GTCAATGTTTCTTCTTTTATAGAACAATTATGCACGGTTGTTTGCAATTAGATATGCATAATGCTTCTGGATAATTAATTATTTTTATAAGATTTGAATACAATAAGGATACAGTTGCCTAAACTTTTGTTTTTTGTGGAATAAGAATGCAATTTTTGTTTTGTTTAACTGGAATTCATGAACAACCAATTGATTTTTGTACTTTTTGTACATCATAATGGGTTGTTGTTCATAAAATATAATGAATATATGCAATACGTTGCAAATATTTTGAACACATTGTTTAACAATGTCAATATTTCTTCTTTTTTATAAAAAAAAAATGCACTGTTGTTTGCAAGAAGGTATTCTTATGCCTCTAGATTGATTGTTTTGTTTGGTTTTTTTTTAATAAACTTAGATTGCAGATGATTAAACTTACGTGTGTATTGAATAAGAGTTAAATTATTTCTTTATTTTGATGACTATCATGAACCACCATTGGTTTTTAGTACTTTTTGAACATCAAGATAGGTTGTGTTTCGTAAATTATGATGATTATAACGGATAGCAAAATGTTGTTTGTTTTGTTTAAAAATACCCATATTTCTCCTTTTTCATGAAAATAAATGCACTTTTATTCGCAAATCAACATTTCAACCGCCTTTTGATGAGTAACTTTTAAGATGTATGGATACATGAAGAATAAAGATGCATTAACTTGTTTTTTTTATAAATAGCAAAATTAAGAAGATATTTTACCACTTTAAGAACCAAAATCATGAACCACTATTGTTTTTGATAAATTATGATGAATAAAACAGATAAGTTAGTAACATTTTGTTTGCATTGCTTAATAACATTGAGAATGGAAATGGGGAATGTGTCAAAGAGACAACAACCCGACCACAGAACAGACAACAGCAGAAGGCCACCAACAGGTCTTCAATGCAGCGAGAAATTCCCGCACCCGGAGGCGTCCTTCAGCTGGCCCCTAAACAAATATATATACTAGTTCAGTGATAATGAACGCCATACTAAACTCCAAATTGTACACAAGAAACTAAAATTAAAAATAATACAAGACTAACAAAGGCTAGAGGCTCCTGACTTGGGACAGGCGCAAAAATGCGGCGGGGTTAAACATGTTTATGAGATCTCAACCCTCCCCCTATACCTCTAGCCAATGTAGAAAAGTAAACGCATAACAAAACGCACATTAAAATTCAGTTCAAGAGAAGTCCCAGTCTGATGTCAGAAGATGTAACCAAAGAAAATTAACAAAATGACAATAATACATAAATAACAACAGACTACTAGCAGTTAACTGACATGCCAGCTCCAGACTTCAATTAAACTGATTGACAGATTATGTCTTCATCATATGAATATCAGCCACAATCCTTCCCGTTAGGCTTAAGAATACCAATATTTCTTCTTTCTTGTCAAAATCAATGCACTTTTATAGACAAATGGTCATTGTATACGCTTTTGATGAGTTATTTTGATAAAATGTGGATATTCGAAGAATAAAGATTCTTTAATTTATGTGTGTCGAATAAGATTGCAATTATTTCTATATTTCCATTGCATTTTAGTACTGTTTGTACATCAACATGGGTTGTTTTTCTGTAAATAAGAGAAAAGATGCTCATATTTTTTCTTTTGATAAAAATCAAGGCACCTGCATTTGTAATCAGTCGTTGCAAAGGCCTCAGGATGAGCTATGTTATAAAATATGAATAATCTAATAGGTTTTGGTACTTTCGAACATCAGGATGGATTGTTTTTTGTATGATTTTATGAATATCAAAGAAAAGATACTAACAATTTGTTCTCATTGTTTAAAAATCTCAAAATGTCTTCTTATTATAAAAAATAGTGTAATGTAGTTTTAAATTCTTCTGGATAAGTAATTATTTTTATGACATTTAAATACTATAAGCAAGATAAGGATACAGAAGCTTACACTTTTGTTTGTATTGAATAAGAATGCAATTATTGTTTTATTCAAAATTAAAAGGAATTCATGAACAATCAGTTGATTTGTGTTTTTTGAACATCAATATGGGTTGTTTTTCATAAAATATAATAATTATGTAATGCGTTGCTAAAATTTTGTCTACATTATTTAAAAATGTCAATATTTCTTCTTTTTATAAAAACATTATGCACTGTTGTTTGCAATCAGTTATTCACAATGCCTCTGGCTGGATTATTTCTTTATTTCAATGAAACTAATGAACCTCTATTGTATTTCGTAAATTATGATGAATATAACAAATAAGTTAGTAAAATTTTAAAATGGTGGTTTTCATTAGATATGATCAATAAAAAAGAATAATAAAAATACCAAACTTCATGGCATATTCAAAACGGAAAAATCCATAATGACTGCCAAAATCAATCGCTTACAATCAACGGAACAAGTGTAAACCTATAGTTGTATTCCTGACTTGGTACAGGCATTTTTCGAAGAAAATTGTGGGTTAAACCATGATTCAGAGCTAGCTAAACCTTCCACTTGTATGACAGTTGTTTATCTTATTAGAAAAAAGATACTAAAAATGTTGTTCGAATTGTTAAAAAATGCAATTAGTTTTTATCAAAAATAGTGCCCTGTTGTTTGCAATCATTTTTTTAAAATGCCTCTGGATACGTTATCAATTTTATACTTTGAATAACATAAGGAATAAGATGCTTATACATTTGTTTGTGTTGAGAAAGAATGCAATTATTTTTTTTATCTTAATGTAAATCATGACCCACCATTGTATTTTAGTACAAATGTGAGTAGCATATGGAATATAGATACCTTATCATTTTTGTGTTAAATTCAAATACAATTATTTCTTCATTTTATTATATTGTTATGGAAATCATCAACCATATAATTCTTTTTGTACATCAGGATTAGTTGTTCTTCATAAAAAATCATGCAACGAAATTTGCAATATTTGTTTATTTGATTTTTTAGAGCATTTCAGCAAATTAAGTTGATTTTAGCAATCGCAATAAACAACGTTTTTAGCACTCGTCGGGTTTGATGAAAAAATGCCTTTATATTAACTACAATCGCATTGTTTTTTTATAAAATTGAAATTTTACTTCTATCAGCATATTTCAACTCACATTTAACAAACGTAAAACTGTAGATATGAAAACTTTGCTGAGTGATTAGTTTTAACTTGTTGGGCTTTTTATTTTTTTCGTTTTAAATTGTAAAATTTCATTATGTGACCTAGTACAGTTCAAAACGTCAGAAAGGTAAATCGGTCCGATCAAAGATTTTCGCTGTTAGTCTGATTGATTTATAACGTGAGTTTAGCGTGAACTTGACTGATCGATGACTGCTGACTGATCGTTGATACAGTAACTCCTAAGGTTGTAAGTCTAAGGTTGTAAGTCCTTTAGTTTTGTGTACTTTGGTAAATTTTCATTTCATTTTTTTTTATATCTAATATGTTTGCAATTGTAAACGTATCAGCATTAGAAAGTGAGCAAACATTCTACTTATAAATAACTTACAATACCAAATTTGAGGGTCTTTGATAAGCTGTAAGTCCTCACTGTTCTTCAACTTCATACTTTATTTAGTCTTTCAACTTTATTTTATTCGAGCGTCCATTTTTTAAAAAGAAACACACAGCTGGGGGTTCACATTCGCATTGTATCTTAAATACATGTGTTTTGCATGAGATTCTTCACTTTTTATAATGAATGTCACATTTCAAGCATTTTGCATTTTTATTATGTTTGTTTATCAACTTGAAGATAATCTAATGTTGTTCACTACATTCGTTCTTTATGAAAAGAAGGTTTCCTAATACCGTACCAAACGAGATGATAAAGCGATGGAATAAGATGAGTCAAAATAACCTAAAATATTGGTCAATTAGGTATCATTATTACACTTTTAAAAAAATCTAAGTAATTTAAATTTAAACGGAAACAATTGAACAATACAAATGCATATGGGGTTTTTAAAAGATGTTTGACATCAACCTGTTTCTCTCTTCTATAACACGCATGGTTAAAGTGATAAATTCGATCATAAAAACATTCAATGTACTTTTATTCTTTTTAACAAACCGAAATTCAATGAATAATGTAGTTAAATTTGTATAGACCAAATGCTTCCAAATTGATTCATTCTTTAAATAGAATTAAACATGCACTGCCAGTAGTTATATATTATACCACAAAACAATATAAAAAAGATACCAGGATAAAAATTATGTATGCCAAACGCGTATTTCGTCTACAAAAGAGACGGAAGATACCAGAAAGAAAGTCAAACTCAAAGGTAGAAAATAAACTGACCCATGGCTAAAACCTAAACTGAAAAAGAGACACCAAACAGTATACAAAACACACAAAACCGGATGTGATTGTATGTATTGTTTGTTGATGATTTACCTTCATGGAAAGCGTTCAAACCAAAAATGGTTAAAGCCAAGGATTTGTGATAACCAAAACAGTTGAAGTATGTGACCATAGAAAACCTGTAGTTCAGTAGTTGTCGTTGGTTCATGTTAGTTATATCTGTTTTTCGTAAATTATTTTGTCATAAATTAGCAGTTAGTTTTTTCAATTGAATTGTTTCATATTGTTCATGTCGGGCTCTTTTATAGCCGACCATACGGTATGGGTTTGTCTCATTGTTGAAGGCTCTACGGTTGCCTATAATTGCTTACATTCACTTCATTTGAACTTTCGTGGATATCTGTCTCATTGGCAATCATACCACATCTCCTTATTTTTATATAAACAAAACTGGTTAAATCAACCTAAGGTTAACTTTAATTGTATGTGTTGAAACCTAAGTTTTTTAATCATTTCTAAATCTATTAAGCGAAACTTTAAAATCATACAAATATCACATTTCAATATTTGGCATGATTAATGACAATACTTATTCAATAATCTGAAAGAACAAGCTGTCATCTTAACATGTTCACTTTACTACTTATTCAATTAATTTCATTGTCGTTTCTATAATTCATTGCTTAATGGTATGCTGTTTTTAATGAATATTTATTTGAATTTTTCAGCCGGTAAGTGTCAAGTAGCAAACAGATAAGTATAGCGTACAATTATCTATGCAATTCATAATATAACGATATTTATACAATGGTGTTAGTAGAGTAGTAAAGTAAAACAATAAACATACCATGAACATGATGTGTGATAGACACGCGTTCCGTCTACAAAAGAGGCGGAAATACCAAACAGACATTCAAACTAATTAGTCGAACATAAACTGACAACGCCATGGCAGAAGCCTCAACAGACAAAACGACAAACAACAGTATACAAAAAACAAATAAACGGGATTGATTTCATGTGCTGTTTTCTAAATTTACCTTAACGGGGAACGCTCAAAGCAGAAATGTTTAAATCAAGGAACGTATAATAATCAACATAGTTCAAATATATGACCATAGAGAACATACACGAACATAATTATATCAACTTAACGTCAACATTACTTGAGGGTATTAAAACCTAAGTTTCTTTATAATTTCTGAATTTATAAAGCGACACTTTGAAATCATACAAATATCACATTTCAATATTTGGCATGACTAATGACTTTACTATTGAATAATCTGACAGACCACGCAATCATCTCGAAATGTTCTACTATCATGTTACTACAAATTTAATTAATTCCATGTTCGTTGTAATAATTCATTGCGAAATGGTATGCTGTATTCTAAGAATATGTATTTGATTTTTTCAGCGGGTAAGTGTCAAGTAGCAAACAGATAAGTATAGCGTACAATTATATATGCAATTTATAATATAACAATATTTATATAATGGTGAACGTAGTGTAGTAAAGTAAAACAATACACATACCATTAAAGAGAGAAATAGTCAAAAAAAGTATTTAAAAATGGGTTGGTAATACACTATTATCTGCTTTTCTTTAAAACAACCCTTTTGGAAAGATTATAAGAAATTGTATTTTTAAATTATTGTTGTCAAGTATTGAAATATAAGAATACATTATGAAATAATATGACTTGATTATGACAGGCGATTAATAGTTTATAAAGCTTGAATCATGTGACTATTTATGCAGCCACTGGATATGCTAATTACGTAAAAAAATCCAAATTTGTCCTAGTGTCAAATCTAGGTATGTCCTTATGTTTGTATTAGGGAGACAGAAGTTAACCGATGTCCAAATAGTGACTTTATGTTTAGTCTTGTTTATTCTGTTTGATTATACCTATCATTTTATTGCTTTTCAAAAAAATAGAATGTTGTGCTAAATACCATGTATATACTCCTGATTATACAGTAGCTACTCATCAATAGACGATCAGCAAAAGAACATCACATTATCAATATGCTAGTATTTTCATAATATACATTTCAATTTTTTGTTCTAATATGATTGCTATATAATTTACTACTGGACACCATAGATACAAAACACCTATAGACAAAATTGATGCTATTGTGATTTTTATAAACTCTAAAAGAGAAGATAATGACTTTAAAACTATTTTTGAGATATAGGTATTCGTGTTCACCACTTGGTTTGTCATTTTTTATATCTATACTTCGTTTGAATAGCTACCACATTCAAGAAAACACAGTTTTTAGTTAAAAAAAACAAACACTTCAAAACAATACGCTGAACATATTCAGTAAAATTTATAAACTGGTGTTTTGAGATGAGTATTTGCTGTATCGTGATTGTCTTAAATTATTCCTCATACTTTAAACTTGTATTTTTTTTTTTATTTTTCAGGACAATGTAAGTATTATATACCATAAAAGATAAGTATATAGCGATTATTTTACAAAAAATGAAGAATGAAAGAACAATAGATAGTGAATGTTGTGTATGGTGTTTTTTATTGAAATTGAACAATAAAAAAACAGTTCTAATCAATAAAGACGCAATTATATAGAAATAACAAAACCCATTCGTATATTAGAAAAATGCTATTTTTTTATTAGTCTGAGTTTAATCGAAATGCTAAGTAGTCTAAATTCAAACGTGAACAAATAGACAACACAATTCGCATTGTTGTTTATAAATATCTTTAACAACACCCTGTTTGTTCTCTAGTATTATAATCTTTCAAGTATTAAATACTTTCGTGAATATGTTCAATGTAATATTTGTTATTTTTACAAATCTTAATGTTATAAATATGTTTAACCCAACGAATAATATATTGAAACAAAAAGATTGATAATTTTATTTAGACAAAATGCTTCAAAATTGATTTAAACGTTGTGTAGGTAAATCATTACGACTTAATAACCTGACAATACACTGCCAGCAGTAACAGAGTATTCCATAAAACAGTATAGAAACTTATTAAAGAGATCAGGTTTATAATGTTGTACATGTATGTGTAAACGGACAATGTTTGAAAGTTTTATAACCTTTGATATCCACAGTTAACTAATTATCACTCACATATGGAAGTTTTATATTTTTTATTTGATAAAAGAACAAACATGTTTTTCAGTTGCATTTGTTATTTGTTATGACAGTAAGACAAAACAGGCAATAGAAGACTGAAGTACAACCAGTGCTTCAGAAAACATTATATGTTTGTTATTATAAAATATTACAAACACAAAATGTAATTTTTGACATGATTACTGACTATAACATTCAACAAAAAGCTGTCAGTTCTTATATCACTTTACTACTTATACTACGGTGGCTTCTATAACTCTTTGCTAGATGGTATGCTGTATTGTATGATCATTTACTTGATTTTTTTTTTTTGCAGTCGGTAAGTGAATAGTTTCAAACAGATAAGTATAGTTTACAATTATATCGCAATGTATAACATGACGATAGTCTTTGAAACTTGTATAATGTACTTAATTATGCAGGTTGCAATAAGGGGAATTATCAAATTGCGTAACGATATTCCAAGTTATCCAAACATCGCATATGTTTAGTATGTCCGTATTTCTGAAAAAAGGTGACAATATGTCTAAATTGTAACAATATTTTTTGATCTTGTGACTTCTTTCTCATTATTCCTTTCATGTAATATATCTATATGTCCAGGCAATGTATCAATTCCCGATATGTACATGATATGCTGTAAACCAGAGTTCCTGGTTATTTGATTAATCGTCGCCATTCAAAGTTGTTTCCGATTAATAATAAATGTTTGACGTCTGTTTTTAAAACATAGTTCTAGAATTACAAAAAAACAACATGTGTTGGCCTTTGTATTATTTAATATATATATATATCAAACCATTACTATTTCAAATATATGCATTATTTAACTTTAGTCGGTAACTTTCAAGTACCAAATCGAAAACTAAAACTAAATACTTTGAGCATTTGTTGTCTTCTTATAAAAGTGGAAAAAGGTAATAGTGGGAATGTCTGAAAATTGTTATCAAGATGCATAAATAACACTCAATCTGTTACTTTGCTTATAAAAAAAATCGAATAAACTTGAATATTTTCATTTGATAAATTATGTGTTCAGTCATTAATCTATTAGCCTATAGGATAAACATTACAAAATGTGGTAGAATTGACAATAAGACAGCTACCCAACATAGAGTAAATTATGTTGATGGTAGTTACAATAAGTCACAATACGGGCTTTTCCAATAGTGAGAAATGCAAATACCGTATATTAAGTAAGCTAAGAAAATCCCAAAATGACAATATGTGAACTATAGAACTTACACTGTTAGGTCCGATAGGTAAATACATTTTGACAAAAGTCATGATATAATATGTTCTCTTTGTAGCTGTACCTGTGGAGAGTAAGTATTGAAGATAAAGCTTACGATTTATATTTTTTTTCGATAGCGCGGATGTACATTATATGCATTAGTCATCAAAAGAAGTACATATAATGATTATACACAATTATATAACTGATAGCTATACGCGTAGTATAACATGTTTCTTTTCAATTAATTTGTTTCATATTTAAAATTTACATGAACAGGTACAATACATCTAATTACTAACTGATCGATAATGATATGCACAAAATAGCATGTTTCTGCGGTAGTATCTTTTAAACTTGTTTTTGTAAAGAGATAACGTAATTTATGTTTGCAAGTTGCTTCTTATGAAGGACACTATTTGTTTAGTTAAGTGGTATGGTCGTCTCTGACATAAATCGGTTTCATTTGAAAAGATTGGTACTCTTATAGACCGGATACATATTCATCAGATACAGATAATTTCAACAAATAAAGTGACTATATATATTTATCAAAATACAGAACTAGCATGTACTGTTATTAGAGGATCTATAATATAACTTTTACAAAGAGGAGACGACGTTCTTGTTAAAATGCTGCAACATCGGAAGCCATGAATTGTATGACTGCTGTTCCATAAAACTGATCGTAAGCAACATCAGTCCACACTATTTATTGAGTCAAATCGTGACCAAATACAAGATCAAACAGATAAACCAATAACAGTCCTTTAGGAATTTGTTCAGTATATCAAACTAGTTAGATATTTCAAAGCTAGATATACGGAAGTTAATGTTGAGGTCAATTAAACTTCTAAGATGTAAGCAAACATTCACTCACACCTATGACGAACAAAGTTTTAACTTGCAATGCGTTTCAAGAATGATGTATATACTAAGGTAAAACACAACACATTCATTTCATTTATTTCTTCAGATTGATGAATCACATAGGGGAGTAAATATACAGCCAGTAACACACATTTGAGAGACACAGAAATGATATAAAACACTTTCTTCTGATAAAACAATAATGGAAAACAAATATAATGTTTCCTTGTTTTATGTATATGTTAGTTTTATGTTGAAATATGTACGATTCTGACAACATAAAAAGACAAACTTTGCAAATAGTTTACTAAAATGGATCACACGAATCATTCATACTTTGATTTTGTCGTATATCAGATAATAATTAAATTTTCTCTCGTGACTTAATATTATATTAATTTCGAAATAATTAGCTACACTTCATAAAAATCAAGTGTTACAAAACTACAATGAATTATTGTCATGTTAGTGTCTGTTGTTAGAAAAATAACCTAAACCATTCGAATTTATTCTACTTTTCTATGTATCCTACAATTAATTTTAGAGTAGAACCTTACGTATTAAAAAGCATTATAACGTGTCGTTTAAGTATTTAAGCAATTGAGGCGAAACAAATTAAAATTGAACATTTTTCTAGTACTTCAAGTTATTGTTCAAGTTAACCACAATATGTCTTTACCCTACATTGTATTTCTAAATGTGAAATCAATCATCAGACATATATATGATTAATCCGTTTTTTCTTCCATTAAACTAGTAACCACGTAGATTGTATTATATATCCATTTAGTATTTTAGTAATATGTATATTTTTTGTGAATGTTAATTTTCTTGTTTTATAGAATTTTATGATTATATTTCAATACGTATTCTTTCTTTTTAATGACACAAACCTTGCAACTGCTTTGACTAGAATTTTTTTTAACTGTTTTGCTAACATCGAAAACAAGTCCAGTAACCCGCTCGACTCCGTTCGTCATTCCGTCCTTTCGTAATTCCTTTCGTACGTCCAAAAGACCTGTGATAGAAATTTTTCGTCAAAGTTTTCGCTGCTTCGTTGAAAGAGAATTATCTTATATTTGGTGTGCAGCTTGATAATGTTGAATTGTAGCGTGTAAAACAATTGTTATATCCGCTGTGCAGCCACTTTCTGTTTGCTGATAGTTCGAAATATTACAACTCTGATTGTACAAGGACAATTTTCGTCAAAGTTTTCTTGGCTTGATTGAATGGAAGTGACAAGGTATGTTTTCGTGTACAAGTCCCTCAATCAATAAACCAGTTTCCAGTTTTTAGCATTTTCGTCAAAATTTTTGGTTTTAGTGAACATCATTCGTGCGTTTAGGGGCATCGTCACTTCCTTCCAATGTTGAGCGAGCGGTTAAAAAATATGATTCTATGTTGCTCTAATCATTCGGCAAATTAAATTCTTAGAATTGATAATCAGCGCAGCTGTCATTAGGGAATTGTGATTAAGTACCTACGGAACAAACATAATTTTTAGATTAGCCTGCATAATGATAATCACGAAGATGCTTGATGAACTTTAATAGTGCAGGGATACAGGCGGTCCCCTCTATCAGGAAAATGACGTCATAAAGGCGCGCATAATTGACAAACTTTTTTTGGTGAAGGACATAACTCGAAAGGTGTCTATTGTATGCTGTGACGCAGATCCAGA